CTGCCCAAGCCACTCAAGGCATTATCCTTTACAAACCCGATCGAGCGTTTCCGTCGCTGCAGCTTGGTAGACACGGTGCCCTGGCTCGGATGTGTAGCGACTTTGTCTAGCCACTTGCCGGTAGCCGCTCTGAGTGTCAGGATGCGGAGTTGGCATTCGTTCGTGGGCAAGGTCCTATCAGTGATGTCTGACGTGGGCGTTGCTATGTGGACGGCTTCACATGCTGTGTAACCTTTTGGGGCTCCAGCGGCACTCCAGCACCAGACCTTCGCAAGTGTGTGCTTCTGCCCCCTCCACAACGCCAGGTGCAAGAAGCGCCCGAACCACGTGAGCTCGGCGAGAAGGTGTGAGCTCTGAAGCCGGGGAGCAGGTAGCCGACTGTCCATTGCTTTGGGACATCAGCTTCCGACGTGCTCTGCTTTGGTGTTACGCAGTTCATTCCTTGAGGCTTTCTCAGGCGGCCTTTAGCTTAAAGTCTTTGAAAGCTTCATCTTTTTTCTCCACTGTCTCTATTGTCTTCGTTGCTTTGATAGATCCTCTTTTCACCAGGCCCGTAGTGTTTTCATCGCCCTGTGCGTGACTCTGCAACTCTTGCCCTCCTACCTGTACCGTCCTACCATTTCCGATTTTGCTTCAGCAGCTTGAGCTGTTCGTCAGGAGATATTCCCCATGCCCTAACACATGTTCTGCATTGTTCTGCAATATCCCGATATATTCCTAGGAAGTTGGCCTAAGGCCTAGAACAATCGTGGAGAAAGGCTTACAAACTCCATCTTACGACAATCGTTCAGCGACGATGCGAGCCACTTTATGTAGCAGCGGCCGGGCCCTTAACAATTCGAATACGGCTGAATAGGACTTTGCAGTGTATTGCATTATCATGATATTTTGTGAACCGTAGTGGGCAGCATTTTTGTTTTAGTCCAAGGCCAGGCGCACCGGACCTGAGCATCATTGTGTGCAGTGTTCAACCAAGTCGGCGATTTCTACGGAGATCCTTAGAAGCTGGATCTCGAACGTGACCTCGATTCTTGCCTTGAAGCCTCCTTTGGCTCTCCGGCTCGGGCCAGACCAGTGGAGATAGGTTGCACACCTTCAGTGCTGCTGCAGTCCTTCTGGCGAGGCTGAACAATGTTTGATTATCCAGTAAAGCACACAAGGTGTCGGTCATCACTGTCAGCGTGACATCACGGTTTGGGAGAAGAGTATCGCCAATCTCCTCACGTCACATGTCTGTAGTCACTCCGATGCGTCTTGAGACTGCGGCTTTCCTGAAGATCCGGGCAGCGTCCGGCTCGGACTGGTACTGGGAATGCAGCGATACTAGCTTTCCCGCACAGCAACTTATTTCTTCCCGTGACGAGGGCAACGGTATGCTTGGACACGAGCTTGAGGGCAGCAGCCTTGGCAACGAAAGAGTTACGTTTCGACCTTGCATCATTGACCCCTTGATGTGTAATAATGTAATAATTGCATGAGGGAATGTGAAAGCACCACCCCACCCACCCACCCCCACCCCCACCCCCACCCACCCCCGCCCCGGCCACCCCCACCCCCACCCACCCGGCCACCCAGCCACCCAGCCACCCAGCCACCCAGCCAGCCACCCCAGCCACCCAGCCACCCAGCCACCCAGCCACCCAGCCACCCAGCCACCCAGCCACCCACCCACACCCACCCACCCACCCACCCACGCACGCACGCACGCACGCACACACCCACGCACCCACGCCCCCACCCCCTGAGATGTAACCGGGGCGTGTATCCCCTCGCTAGGCGTACAGGAACGCGGGCACACAGGAGTCTCTTTTTACTACGAGGGTGCACAGCTGTAAATCGTACTCTGCTAGAACCTTGAGCAACAGGCATGGGTACATTCAAGTGATACGTGAAACAGTCAGGCACCTGGATGTGTAACATCAGTGTTTCAACCAAGCACAAATTTAAAAACCACGTAGAGCTGCATGGCCGTGAAGTCGGCATTCTACTTGCCTGTTATTGCCGTTTCGAATTAAAAGCGGAGTGGTTGAGCTACATCTGTAACTTATGAGTGTTTTTACATCTCGGCCTGGAGACAGCTTGTATGAAAAAGCAGAACAGGCCCACGAAACGCAAACGGATCTTCATTCTAAACTTTTGCTTGAAAGTTGCCCACATGTGTCAGTTACCTCTCCAGATGGAAAGCATACTGCACAAAGGTGTGAAGCTTGGCTTCGCTTGATGCCAGCATTGGCATTTGCGGCTTGGCACATATGAAAGGTCAAGAGTATCTTATCCAATGATAAGTATCTCTTTTAGTCCTTGGCAAGGTCTTGAGAAAATACCTTCTCCTGAGAAAAGCATCTTCCTTCGAAATGAATGCAGTGGATACCTTCTCCTGTGAGAAGCATTCCATGAGACACGCAATCCACTTCTTCAATCGGACCAGTGTTTGGCTCTAGCCAGCGACAAAACCTTGGATCCTGCACATCGAACTCCTCTTCATCGAAGGGAAGCGGACGTCGAGGATAATTAGTGCCACCGTTCAAGTCGCACCATTTGTGGCTCATATCGAAAGCTAGGGCCTACACTGTCCAGGGGATTCATAGGGCTCGGATCCATGTCTTCATCAGAGATGTCGTCATAGTCATCCTCGCCCACGTCAGAACCTGGTCAGTTCTTCACCTTGCCTTTGCAGCTTGCCTTTGTTTTCGACTTGCTGTTATCGGATGCCTCTCCTTTTGTTTGTCCACTGGGAGGCTGCGCGGGTTCTGGAGGACGTCGGGAGCCAGAAGAAGAAGCTGCTGCACCGGACGATGCCTCTCCCTGTGGAGAGCTTGGGTCCATCGATGCTGCCTGCGGATCAGCTGAACCGCGATCCTTGTTCGCGTTCTGTCTCGCTTGCCTCCTGTCTGCTTCCTCCTCGACGGTCTCGGGGTTGCGGCTCAACTCTCATCCTGCTTCCCGAATATTGGTTCGCATGAACCTCGATGAGAAGTGGAGTGAGATGCATAGTCCCGGTCGTTGAGGAGGTAGGCCGCTGTTGTGGAGTCTCGGAGCCAGTCGGAGACAGTCACCTTAATTAAACTCCTGCATCACTGAAGGAATCATTCACCACTGTTCATCATCCATGCTATGGCCCCATCAGAAAACTGTGGCCACCAGTGGATCCAGACCAGGGAAAGTGCTCCAATCAGGATGGTCGCAATCTTTGTAAGGTTGTCCTCCAAGAAGATCCACATATTGCTTCAACAGGCACAGGCTGTTTACAGAAACGTGCTGTACTCTGGGGAAGCACAGATGTGGACTTTGTCGGGACGCGGCCCACGCCCCGAGGAAATAGAGATTGGCCTCCCCGGATGTCCATTGATTCCTGTTTTCCGACCTGTAGCCCTATACCAAGCCATGTTTGCATCATCTCCGAGCAGATCCACTTTGTAGTGAAGACAATCTGCAAACATTGTGCCCAGAGCTTCGTGCGCAAGTGCTACTTTGCCGGCCGCGCGAACATTGTTCAGATGGAACATACAAACTCTGATCATGTCTGAACCTGCCCTCGTGAGGGTGTTCGTGAGCGAGGCCATCGGAAAGTCATCTCGGTTCCCTTGTTTTTGCCGTAGACAACCTCCACAATCATACAGGTGAGAGGAAGAGCATTGTGGGCCTTCCTCCTGTCAGTTAGTTCTGCCCCCGATCATGATGTCACCAGAGCGGTTTCTGAGAACACTTCAACCACGATCACGCAAGAACTTTAACTCCGCCTGATTGACTTCCGATGCTTCACAGGCCATAAACATGTGACTTGCTGTGGGCCAATGACTTCACCAGTGCACCTTTGCAAGGCTGGCTGTAGTCATACTCGAGGTGAACCGAGAAGGCCGAGGGAGCTGTCTGCTTTCTACCCCGCGAGAAACTGCCGAGGTTGACAATGAGAGCCGCATACTTGGACTTGCATGCAAAACTGGCACGGGGCCATCTTCTGCAAGACCAAAGCGATGAAGCTGAGGGATCGGCGTCTTCTCAAGTGACAAGTCCCCGATCTCTTCTTCATCAACACCAGCTTTGAAGAAGAAGTGAAGCATAACATTCATGAGTTCTTCTCGGGTTGTTGGATTGCCGCTCTCTGAAAGTGAGATAGCCTTCTCCAAAAGAGCTTCTTGCACTTCCACGGCAGTCTCCTTGACATTCGAAGCTTTCTCCATGAGCTGGTCATCGGGGGTGCTGCGAACGTCCCCGAGCGGAAAATAACGTCCTTCTTGGCTGGGTATCGGGTGCAGATCGGATCCATAGTACACAGGTGCTTGAAAAGGTCGTTCTCACTTAGAGTGTACTTGGTCTTTGTATGTGGATCTACCTTGACACGCCAGGCCATATGTTGGACTTTGAAGGCGCTGACTGGATCGTCTCGTACACCAGAGTGGTAAAGACCACTTGTGGAGTATCCGTTCTTCTCCTCGATCAGCCTACGCATAGGGCTTCCTCTCTCTGCTGCAGAGAAGATGACCTCGCAGAAGTACTCGAACTCCTCGGTGTGCTCGAGTCGTTCGTTGTCCTTCGCATTCTCCGTATTTTCGAACGCCTTCCCGTTCTTCTCCTCGGCGAGCCCCTCCGGATCAACGACAGTCTCGACTCTTCTCCAGATGCCTTGGTCATGAGGACCATCATCCTTGTCGGGGGAGATGTCTGGTGACATGTGCTCCTCATCAGGTGATGAGTCTTCGGATGCCATGTTCTCGTCGTTGACCTCCTCTGGAGCGCCCATGTGCTCGTCTTTGATTTCCGACTCCTCTCCCTGAGGAGAGCCTAGCCTTCATCAGCTACTAGTTACTTGCAACAAAGCTTGCCGACTTGCAAGACTTATGTCAGGAGACGTCTGCCAAAATGGCTCTGCCATTTTGGCCCAAGATCGTGGACCGTGGGTCCTTCAAAATTTGAAACTTTCGCTCCCGCTTTCTCTTTCGCGACCGTCGATCATGGCACTCACCCCCGTCGCTAATGTCGATGACGTCCTGGCCTCCAGCATGGAGACCGTCGAGAGTTTGGTGCCCCCTCGTGATGTCGCAGACAGTGATCAGGAATGGGAAAAGCCCGACGATGAAGTGGCTTTGGCCCGTGCTACCTTGGCACACAATGTCCATGCCCATGAGGATGAGACGGCCAACTCAGCATTGGCCTCCTTCACGGCATTGGAGGTGGATGACACCAGCATGGACTTGCGGCTTCAGGAAATGGAAGCTGCCATGAAACGGCTGTTGGCCAAGGGCAGTGAGATGGTGGCGGTCAAGGAAGACAGCCCTCTGTCCAAGGATATGGACACCACGGGATCGGAGGTGCCAACCACAGGTGACTTTGTCCCTGAGGGCGGTGCTACTGATGATCCCATGGACAGGCCGGAGGTGCCAACCACAGGTGACTTTGTCCCTGAGGGCGGTGACACGGTGGACAAGGACGATGCCAACAAGCCCAGGCCCTACTCGGCTCTGCCCGCCGGCACCCTGGAGGAGAAGGTCTTCCGCATTGAGGGCTTCCCGGAAAACTTCCCCGGCATCGGCAAGAAGAGTGCAGACTGGGCCCAGCAATTGACAAAGGAGGAGATCGCCTCCTTGTTCTCCGAGCTCAAGTCGGAGCAGTGGAATCGCCCGGCTGTGGAACGAGTCCTTGAGGTTTACCAAATCTACAAGCGACAGCTGGCACAAGAGAAGATGCTGGCCGCCCCCTACAACCGTGCTCGCAGAGGGGTGGGGCACAGCAGCATGGGTCAGCTTGACCCGGGCAGCACGGGGGCTACCCTCATGTGCCCCAACTGCTTTACGGATTGGCAGTGGCAGTACAACAAGGTTGAGGGGAAGTGCAAGCTCTGCCAGAAGTCTGTCATCGCAGTGGACAAGGGCCCGCCCTCGGCAGAGATCAAGCTGGGCCAGTCCTCCTGGCGAACGTTTTGTGGCCCGCGAGGTGTCACATGGCACACGGATGCAGACGAGCCCCAAGAAGGAAGCCGCCTCCGTGGACATTGGCTCTTGGGCCCAGCCGCCGCCCAGGCCCACGGATCAGAAGGAGCTGAGCTTTGCCGACCAGGTGCCTATGGCCCTGAGGCTTAGCTTGGCTCACACGGTGGCAACACAGCCTTTCGACGAGGTGCAGTTTGCCAACAAGGAGGCGGGGGACAGACCCCACCTCAGGGACGACTGGCAGCCAAGCCAGGAGACAAGGCTTTCCATCCCCAGCTGGCGGCGGCGATGGACATCACCACCGGTGGACAAGCAGCCCAAGAAGCCCACGGAGGAGGAGTTCCTGGATCACATCAACCCCCAGCTGGATGTGATCGTGGAGATGCAGGCGGGCGCACAGAGTGTCGAGGAGGCAAAGGGTGCGTCAATCCTCCGGCAGCTGGATACAGAGAAGCTCCGCTCCCTTCTTAAGCGAAATTACCTCCAGGGCCCTGGGAATCAGGGAGACGAGTTTGTCGCTGCGCAGACTAGCCTGGAGGAGGCCAAGGCCTCGAACAAGCGCATGCAGGATGAGGGATCCCAGCGCTCCCAGCTCCTCCGGCCGGTGTGCTGCGCGCGGCCCTGGAGATGAACGTGTTCAACCCGGAGTGCCCGCTCAAGGATATGGAGCTTGACGACATCGAGGCCCTTAAGGAAAGGTACTTGAACACGAAGTTCCTGCTAAACCAGAGCAGGAATCCGTTCCCTGCCTCCCTTCTGCAAGAGCTTCCCACTCTGGCCGCTCTGCAGCGTGAGGGCGAGCGGGTCGCCCGGGACTCCGGCGAGGGGCTGTCTGGCCCTGAGGAGCAGTCCCCGGAGGCAGTCTTGGGTGTTCCAGTGGGCTCGGTCGAGTTCCAGATGCTTCGCCTCAAACGTATCAGCGAAATCGGCTCCTTTTTCGCTGCCAAGGTCTTCATCAACCGTACTCCTCAGGTGGTCTTGGACCTCCCTGTTTCGGACATCCACGACTCCAAGCAGCACATGCGATTGAGAGCCGTATGTGACGAAAGGATCACCCTTCCTTTGAGGGCCTTCCGGGACTTCCCGGAGATCTACAACTCGCTCTCCAACTCGCTGGGGCAAGAGTCGGTGGTGGAGGTCAAGATGGCGTGGCGCTGCAACACTGTGCAGTGGTGGACAGCCCGCCTCAAGCCGGAGTACGCTGGCCCCATCTACCGCAAGCTTGGCTACTCGGAGAGCCACATCAGAGGCCTCAACCTGGGGGAAAGGGACACCTCAGCTGCCTTTGGCGCTGAAAGGATTCCCCTCGACCCCGGGTCGGAGCAGGAGCGCTCCCTCCCGGCCATCACCCCGGACAACGTCACGAGTGTGGCCTCGGACGACTACAAGAAGAAGAACGTGGGGGACAAGACGGCCCACGTGTTCTGGGCCAAGATGGAGTGTGGCCTTGTCCTCAGCTCGGTCTCTCCGTGGGAGATTGTGGACAAGAAGAAGGGCGAGACCCGTGGGGGCTACGTTTGTCGCCACTGCAAAGGGTTTTGGCGCAGTGGCAGGGGTGCCAGCAGGTTCCTGCTGATCACGGGAGCACCGAGGGAAGTCCGCGCAGCTCCAGCTCATCCTGGACGAGCCCCCCCAACACCTCTACGAGTCCTGGATCAAGGACCGGATCGAGTTGTACAAGAGGGTGGAGCCCACGGCGGCCCCCCGTGATCGCTCCCTCCGTGTCAACCCGAGCCTCAGCTCCAGGCTCCGGTTCAGCAAGACGAACCTCATGGGCCAGGTCTCCGACATGATCTGGTCGGTGGTGCTCTCCAACCCGGAGCGGGATGGCCTCAAGAAGATCCACGAGCTTGCGGCATCCCTGGTCCGCCCGGCCTGAGCCCTGTTTTTTTTCGTGGAGGGGGAACCCCTGCCAGGTGCCTATGGCCCTGAAGAAGGTCTCCTCTCCCTTCTGGTCGCGGTAGCTTTTCTGCCTTGGGCTCTGAGGGGGAACTGTCTTAAGTGCTAGTACCTACACTACTCAGGACTTGGGCCATGTCACAGGCCTTTTCTTCGGCAACAGGAATGCCCTTGAGGGGAGGGGGTGGGACCTCCAGGCGCCTTTGGCCCTGATTGTTCCCCCCTTCCTCGAAAAGGGAACGACTATTTGCCAGACCTTCCATCGCCCCGTGCGAAAACAAGTGCCCTTGGACTGCATTGGTTTTTCTTCCCTCTCTCTCTCACTCTCTCCCTCCCTCTCCTTCTCCCGTAGTCTCCGTGGCTCAGGATGACTACCTTTGTATTTTGTTGCCCATCTCCCTTTTGTTAGGGCCCCTGACCCTCTCATCTCTGCTCTCTTCGAGCAAGGCATTGGCCCCCTTCAGTCTGATGGCGAGGTTCTTGCAGGAGTGCTACTAGACCCGATCATCAGGGGGTCGGGTCGCTCCTTTGAGGAGGAACAAGTTGATGTGACACGGCCCGGGGGGCAAGCAATTGTGGATTTCATGGCCCGTTGTAGGCCTACCCAGGAACTGGATCGCGTACTAGGTGTCCCTGATGGGCCGCCACGATCTGTGGTCCTTTCATACCGCCCTACACTGGTCTTCCAGCTGATTGTGGAAAGGGCTCTCTCTCTCTTCTCAGGCCCCACGGAAAAGGAGGATGCTCAGGGGATCCTCACCTCTCTCTGGGACCTTTGCACTAAGGTCGCTGCAGGCACTCCCTCTCACATGCGCGAACTACGAGAAGGGATCTTGGTTGCCCCCTGTACGGTGAGCCGGTGGCGCCACTGGAAACCGGGGAATGTCTCCGAACACCATTCTACCAACCAGCGGGCCCTGGAACGTGGCCTGCGGGAGAAATGGGGGGAAAGGCTCCTCTCGTATCTCCTCCCGGCTGCTGGACAGATCCCGCACATGGCGGCCATAATGCCCTCGGGCACCACTCTCATCTCTCTTGAGCTCAAAGGGGAGTTCATGGATCTCTTGGGAGATGCTAGATTCCGCACCCTCAGGATGCGATGCCTCTCCTATGAAGAGCTCAGGCGCCTTGGCTTCAAGGCCATACCATGGAAGGAACACGATGTTCGTGCCCTCCTCAACACTCTCCGTGATCAGGAGGTGTCTCCTCACAAACTTCAGCAGGTGTGGGACACCCTCAAGTGGTTTGGTAAAAAGTTTGGGCTCCTTGCGGTTGACGAGGTCTTTCGGCTCACTGAGAAGAAGAAAGCCCTCTCGGAGTCCCTCGTTAGCACAGTGCACCGTCCGATGCGGAAAGCTCAGGTCCCCTCCAAGTCCTTTGTGGTTCAGGCGGAAGAGGTCGCGGCTCGCCCGCTTTCGAGCTCGGCCACAAGAGTTGAGCTCATGGATGCCTTTATCTGTGGCATTGCAAGGTTCCAGCTCGGCTCCAGTGCCCTCTTTAGTGACCTTCAACATACCAGCCCGGATACCCTCAAGGTGACCTCCACAACCATTGAGTTTTCAGCATGGCTGACCAAGACCCACTCGGCGGTGGCGATTCATAAAAAAAGCCGGTCCCACTCATCTGCCCAAAGTACTCCTTCTCGGGCAAGGACTGGTGGACTCCTCTCCTCTCCACGTGGCGCAAGCTCTCGGCGACCCCCATGTTTGATGCCATGGACTACCTCATCCCGACCGTTGGCAAGGACTATGACGGTTTCATCGCCAGGCCCGCCACCTCGCAGCGCGCTGTGAATTGGCTGCGCTCGGCCATGTCCAGGCAGGAAATCGACAAGGCCCTGTGGGAGGGCCTCACCTGGCACTCCTTCCGGGTGTTCATGCCGGACTGCGCCTTCCAAGCACACGTCCCTCGCGACCAACGGCAGTATCTTGGAAACTGCGGATGTCTACACCCGGGAGAAGAGGAACGTGGTCTGCGCCATCTGGGAAAAGGTCACCTCGAACCTGGATCAGATCGACACGGCGGGCACCCGCACTTCAGTCATTGATCTCTCTCGCGAGGAACCGCAGCACCCCCTGGAGATTCCTGCTGCGGGTGCGCTCCCAGTCTCAGGTGCCAGCGGCCCTGACGGAGGGAGCCCTCCGCGCCCAGTGAGGGACTCATCCACTCCTTCTCGCCATGCAGACAGCCCGGCGTCGAGCTGGCTTATGACGCAGATCCCGGCGGACGAAGTGCCTCCGCCTCAAGGGCCTCTCACTCCTGTAGCCACCAAGGTGGCCCGAGGCAACATGCGGTTGGAGCCCTTCTATGGACAAGGTGGAGGCCCTTAACGCCATAGACTATCAGGGCGACGTGAACTCCTACAACCTGTGTGCGAGGTGCTTCCTTCAGTTCTCCTTGCCGGCAGAGTTTCGAGTGGGGGATGCTCCCCCCGCGGGAGATTCCAGCGAATCGGCCTCGTCAGGTAGCCTGACGGATGACTCCGTGGACACGGCCTCGGAAGCGGAGAAGGTCACCTACCAGGACCTGGACAGGGCTCTGGCCTCCAAAGGCCAGCCTTAGATGGACGACATCTTTCAGTTTTGGGGTTCTTTTGTGCCGCCCATCCTTCGGCTGTGGCTTCTTTCTGGACGGCACAAAATTTTGGAACTCTTTTCTGTACAAGGAGGGTTCCCGATCCACAGGTGCCGTAGGCCCTGAAGGAGGGGACCCTCCTATGTTTCGGAACGGCCTCATTCTTGTCTGAGGTCTTCGACCGAAGGAACATCCCGGGAGTCGGCAGCCACACCAATCCACCATGCAAAAGAGGGCTTGCGAGCATGGTCTTTTGGTGTGCCATTTTCATGCGGATATCTGACATTAGTTACTTGCAACAAAGCTTGCCGACTTGCAAGACTTATGTCAGGAGACGTCTGCCAAAATGGCTCTGCCATTTTGGCCCAAGATCGTGGACCGTGGGTCCTTCAAAATTTGAAACCCGCCCTCCCTTCCCCATGGCGGCTTTAGCCAAGCCTCCTGAAACCATCCCAGATGCCTATGCCGACGACATCGCAGGGCTGCACTCGTCTGTCTCCACCCTGTTGGCAAGAAAACAGATCCCCTACTCTGTCCAGGCAGCATTGGCCAAGGAGGGCTACATTACTCTGGAGGACATCGCCGACCGCTGGGATGATGCGTCGGCCGCCAGAACCAATGGCCCCAGGGATCTAGGTTTTGCTAGTGGGACCAATGGATTCACAGATCAAAGCAGCGCTCTCACTGCCATGCGTCTCTTTCAGGCAATCAAAGCGGCTAAGGAAATGACCAAGAACCTCTATGCACCTCGATCCAGTGTCACGCCTGGCCAGGCTTCTTCGGATCGATCAGGCCTCGAAGTGCTTTGTGACCGACACCAGCTCCTCACGGATTGGACTAAGGAAACGGGGCTCCCGAAGCCCAAACTTGAGGCCCAGGGAAGTGACAACCTTCTCAAGGCGCAGTTCCGCTTCTGCTCCAAAGGAGAACTCGGCTTCATCAATGCGAAATACATCATCAGCGCCTTGCCAGAGCTTGAAGAGAAGCCTTTTAAGACAAGGCGGAAAGTGACAGTAGACGGTTGGGACAAAGAAGAGGAGGAAGAGGAGCGTAGGCTCCCGACCACTCGGCGACATCTGGAAAGGATGCACCGCGTTTTCCGCAACAATCTTTCGATGTGTCTTCTTGCTTTCCCCCAGTTCTCCCAGTTCGACGCGTCTAAGCATGATCTGGATGATTGGTATGACTGGTTCTGGGGTCCGGACATTGCGGGGCGAACTCCAGCCCCGTCGGAGAAAACTCTCCTTTACGCTGAACGGAACGCGTGGAGAGCCATCCACAATCTGGTCTACGAGGGCAAGTCGCTCAAAGAGGCCATGATGGAAGTTCGTGCTGATGCCCTCTTCTGGACAAGGGAAGTCTACGAGCGCGTGCCTCGGCCTGGGGAGAAGGGTCCGAAGGGCACTCCGAAAGGTGAGAAAGGCACTCCCTTCGCCAAAGCCCCGGGCAAGGGGTCCTGGAAAGGCAAGCAAGCCTGGTCGGTGTACCAGCCCGTGTATCAGCCCTTTCTTAAGCAGTCCACTAAGGGCAAAGAAGGTAAGAAGGGCACTCCCAAGGGCAAGGGCAAGGACTCCTGGCCCCAGAATTGGTCCAGGAATAATCCTAAGGGCACCCCCTTCTGCAGAGATTACCACATCAAGAAGCAGTGCCCCGGTAACTGTGGACGCTCCCACAACTGTCCGGTCACCAAAGACGGTTGGGTGTGCAATGCCCCTCCGAATGAGCACAGTCCGGACAACTGTCCCTACAAGTGAGGACTTCCAGTCCCAGGTGCCCGTGGCCCTGAACGAAGAGAAGTGTCGGAAGTGGCGACACGAGTTGCCCTCTCCACACCAGGTGCCCTTGGCCCTGAAGGAGAACAAGCACGGGACAGATCGCGATCTCCCCGTGGGAAGACCGCCCCCGCGCCAGGGGGGAACACCATTCATGTGGGCATGCAGCCCTCCGGTAGTGCTCTCTCGGATGACAAGCCCTTCTCTCTCGGGCCTTGGATTGAGGAACATTACCCGGGCTCTCTGCCTGCAAATTGTTCTCCTGAATGGCTTAATGGGGTCCCCGACCGCCTAATCCGGAGACTCCAGTGGTCCCCCTCCGATTGCACTGCCAGCATTCCTCAGGGTGCCATAATCTTGCCATTCGCGGGTCGTGAGGAGCGATCCTCCATGCTCAAGCCCCAGACCTCTCCTCGAGAGTTCTGGCCTTAGATTCTTCTAGGAAGCCCCCTGGTTTGGACCTCCTTAATAACACCCTGTTTGGGTCTCTCTGTGCGTCGGCGCTGCAAGGAAGCATCTCCTTTGTGGGAGGATGCCCGGACCTCAAGACCTGGGGTTTGGATAGATGGTTTCAGGACTCGGGTACTCTCCAGGCAGTTAGGTCCCGCTCGGCGGAGAACGCCTAAATTATTGC